GCTGGGTTTTTATAACAGTTGACTGTGGTTATATGGTCACTGTTGGGATGGCTTTTTATTCCATTGAATTATAGTTAAATGTTAAAATGTATTCATGCTCAGTGAGATGCAAAACTGAAGTAGATACTGAGTTACTCTTGTCTATAAACTGTCCTACTTGTTTAAAAGTTTAATTCCTGGCATGCGGATGTAGCTAGCTGAGCTGACATTTATTGCCTGTCACTAGTTGCCATTTGAGAATGTGGTAGTGAGTTGTTGCGTTGACCTGATACAGTCCATTTGGTGTTGGAAGACCCACAGTGCTGTTAGGGAGGGAGTTTGAGGATTTTGACCCAGGAATGCTGAATGAGTGGCAAGATATTTCAGTCAGGATGCTCAGTAGCTTAGCAGGGAACTTGGAGATGGTGGTGTTCCCCTTATCTATTGCCCTTTGCAAGGTATTCAGAATCATGAGGGGTGTGGACAGGGAGAAACTATTTACAATCTTGGAAACATCGAGTGAAAAGACAGTCTTAATGTAACCACTGAACAGATGCAAATATGATAACAAGAATACATTCTGGAGAGCTCTTTAAGTCAGTGCGTTGAAGATGCTACAAGAGTGGAGGGTGGCCCTGGACTTAACCACTTGCCTGGCTCCGTTATCCAATATTGAAATATCAGTGGGGGAGTATTTTACAGCAACTGTAACTCTGTTAGATTCCTCTTTATTATGGAAAAGACAAAGATCAGCCTGAAATAAGTTAAAGTTCGGTGTATATTAGGGAAAGCAAATTGAATATTGAACTTTATTTCAAAGGTAATGGGGTATAAAAGTAGGGAGATATTGTTAAAGCTAAACAAGGCACTAGTCAGACTGTAACTGGAATGCTGAGAATAGTTTTGGGCCCCTTATCTATGGAAAGTATTTTGCCATTGGAGACAGCTCAGGAGTGGTTCACTAGGCTTGATACTAGATATGGAGGAACAGTTGGAGAGTTTGGGCCTGAACTCATTGGAATTTAGAAGAATGAGTGGCAGCAGTTTTTAAAAAAAAAAAGTTCATGGTGGACTTGAAATGCTATAGAAATGTTGTTTGCCCTTATTGGAGAGGCTTTGACCAGAGGGCATAATCTCTTACAGTTGCATATTTGAGACAAATAAGGGGAATTTGTGTTCAGTACTGAATCTGTGGAGTTCCATAGGCAGAGGGCTATAGAAGCTGGGTCATTAAGTATATTCAAGGCTCGGACTTTTAATTGGTAAGTGAATTAAAGTTTATGGGAAAAGACAAGAGAATGGAGTTGAGGATTATCAGAACAGCTATAATCTAATTGAATGGCAGCACAGATTTGATTTATGTCTCTCCTTTTTTCCTTAACCAAGGATACCTCCCCTCCCTACCCCTAACCCACCTCCCAAAAAAACCCCACTAGTTGACCGGGTCCTCAACCATATCTAACACATCTCCTGCACTTCTGGCTTCACTCCTTACACTTCCTTCCTGAACAACAATAGGTTCTCGATGTCTTTGCTTGCCACCCCACTAGTCTCCACATTCAAAGGATCATCTTCTACCGTTTTTGTCACCACTTCCTTCAAGATGCTGCCACAGGATATATCTTCCCCTCCATCCACTATGGCCAGTCAGCAGGGACCTTTCCCTCTATGACACGCTGATCCATTCTTCCATCAGACCTAACACTTCCTCACTCCCCCATGGCACCCTCCCGTATATTCACAGAAGGTGTAATGTTTGTCAATTCACAACCTGCCACTTCATCTGGCCCCAAACTCAGCTTTACTTCTATTTTCAGTCTCGTCTGCTGTATTTGCTCCTTGCAATGTGGTCTCCTTTATATTGGCAAGACCAAACAGACACTGAGTTAGTACATTGCCCACTGCTTCCACCTGTCCACTGGAATGATTCTGACCTTCCAGCTGCTTGCCATTTCAATAAATGACCTAGCTCCCTTGCTGACATTTCCATCCTTGGCCTGCTATAGTGTACCAGTGAAGCTCGACACAAGCTGGCTGAACAGCGCACCACTTCCCACTTAAGTAATTTACAGCGTCTAGGACTCAATATTGAGTTGTATTTGTCAGAGTATAACCTGTGGACTTTTATTAAAAATCCACCAACTTCGCCTGGCCATGTCTCATTAGCTCTGCTCTCTGAAGAGTGGGACTTTTTTTTTCGGTTTTCACAGCTAACATTTACAACTATTTCACAATTCTATCATACTGTTACCACCATTATCAGTACCTTTTTGTCCTTTGCTCTGGGCATGCTCACCATCTGTTCCACTGGCTCCTGCTGCCACACTCGCTCATTTAGGAAACATTAATATTCAGGTTCCTTTTCTGTCCGAGGGAAGTCATATTGGGTTTGAAGCATTAACTCTATGCTTTCCCCCTCCACAGATACCGCCACACTTGAGTTTTTCCAGTATTTTCTGTTTATTTCAGAATATAAGTTTTGTGACTTTGTTGCATGTACCAAATTGGTGCCGTCTACTACTGTCATGAGGCCTGGACAATATGCAGGAGCTGTGAAAAAGCTGAGTTATTTTTCACGTCAGCTGTCTCTGATGTATTCTTGGCATTTCTTAGCAGGGTGAGGTCACCAATTGAATTCCTGGGGCATGCTTCAGTTGTGTACATTTGTTACTAAACTAATGACATAATTTCCAGCAATTGCACAACTTTGCTTTTAAATAAGTGAAAGGATGCTTCCTCTTGTGGGAGAATTCTTGGAGTCACTATTGAAAAATATCGAGTCATCCATTTCAGACATGAGAAATTTTACCTTGTGGAGTACAGTGAGTCTTTGGAACAGACTTCCGGGAGAGACGATGGCGGCAGAGTGCTTGAATTTTGTTCAGGTAATGGTATATTCTTACTACATGAGGGGGTGAAATGTTATTGGAGTAGGTGGAAATGTGGATTTGAGGTTATAATCAGATCAGCCACAACCTCTCAGAATAGTGTAGCAGATTCCAGGGGCTGAAGACCTTCTCGTGCCTTCTATTTTTTTGCATGCTCAGTTGAGGCTTTCAAAAGGGAATTAGACTGTTGTCTGAAAAGAAGACCTTTCAGGGTTATGTGGAGAAAATTGGTACATGTCTGCAGATGAGTTGTTCATTTGTAGGGCTTGTGCAAACATGATGGTTCAAATGACCTCCTGCACCGTAAGTCTGTGACTTTGTTACGTGTACCAAACCAGTGTCCTCTTCTATTGTCATGAGGCCTGGACAATGTGCAGGAACAGGTGAAAAGGCTGAGTAGTTCTTCACCTCAGCTGTCTCATTATATGCTCACCGTTTCTTTGTAGGGAAAGGTCATCAAACCAGAGGCGCTCAAGCATGTTACAGCTGTAAGTGTATTAATTACTAAGCTAAATATCATATACGATTGGCTCAGTTACAGACACTGGATGGATAATGACCATATTCCCAAAGACCCCCAGCATGGTGAACTGACCTCTGGGTCATGCTGGACATTAACAGAAAGAAATAATCCTGAGAACAAGACATCAGGTAAATGCAACCAGTTAGGAAGTAGCCGGGGAGTCAGCTGGGTTTGTGCTAGAAGTAGAAGAACCAGAGTCAGCAGAGTTTCGGTTAAACGTGCTGTCGGTATGGGGGTGAAACTGATCGTTTCTGGGTCCTTCCTGAAGGAGAAGAGAAGACAGTAAAAATGGAAGTGGATACGGGCATAGTGGTGTCCCTAATTTCTGAATTGGTTTATAAGGCGAAGTTGAGGACAGTACCATTTGAAGCTTGCCAAGATTATACGATGTGTGCAGAACAAATAGTGCAACTGAAGGGCTATGTGCTGATGGAAATATAAAGGACCAGTGTGCAGAATTGCCACTGTATGCAGTAAAAGGCTAATACCCTGCATTATTGGGACATGTCTGGTTCCAAAATTTAAGGTTGAATTGGGGTG